TAAAATAAATTTAATTTTAGTCTCTTATTTTAAAATTATTTTTTCAGTTTTATAATTTTTAAAAAATATTTTAATTTCTCAATTATGAACAATTTATCCCAAAGTAAGTACCATTATAATAATTATCATCCTTATCATTATCATAATATTTTTTATTTATAAAAAATATCATATTTATTTATATTATAATCTAGATATTTTGTTTTTTTTTATATAATTGTGCTGCTTTTTTTCTTCTTATTTTGTAGCTGTTACATATATAGTATGTATGAGTTTTATTTTCATTAAATACATTTATTTATTTTTGTTTAATTATTTATCTGTATAAGTTTTTTTTTTAATTTTTAAATTATTTAATCAATATTTTAAATTTTCAATTAATATCAAATATGACAATTTTTTTACAAATTATCATCAACATATTTTTCACTCCTTAACTTAATTATTAATACTACTAATATTTTTAATATTTATATTTTATTATCAATAAAATATTTTTATATAGTCAATAACTATTTCTATTATTTGCTAATTATATGTTTATGTTTTATATAATTTATAAAATTTGGTAATATTTGAAAATACTGTTAAAAATTATGTAAATATCATCAAAAATAAAACTGAAAAGAAAAAATAAAAGATAATATTTTCATGATATTATACAATCATGAACCTATATTATAGTGATGCTAGACAAATGCACCCTTTACTTCAATTAAATTATTAATGTATATTTAAAAATATTATATTTTTGTACCTTTAATTTTATATATTAAACCAATTGTAAACCAATTGATTATTGTTTTCAGCATTTATGTTTTGTTATATATATATATAATGATTATTTTTTAATTTTGTTTTAAAAATTGTCTCCACTAATTTAAAACTTTAGATATACTACTTATATTATATAAAGATCTTAAAATTTTATTAAAAATAAATAGAGGTCAAGATATTTTAAAATATTATTCGATCTTAATTTTTTTTATATAATAAAGAAATATAACTCTTATCTAAGGTCGATTCTTACAAAGAAATAATGTGATGCTTATTTCGTAAGAAATTAAACTCGAGTTTTTAATTAAAAAGTACAAATGTCAAACCAATGAACTAATGTTATTTAGTTTATTCAATCATAAATTAGTTTGTTATCTATTATAAGCATAAAAATATAAACTGATTTTACGTATGTTAAGAAAAATAGTTAATTATATCAAAATTTACTAATCTCATAATATTTTTTCTAATTTGTTCTTATTATATTTTTAAATAACGGTGTAAGTAAAAAATCACATTAAAATAGAAATATTTTAGGAATAATAATATCAAATAAAGAAAAAAAATAGTTGAAATTTACTATATTTAAGACTGAAATATGTTTTTTTTTTTTTACTTGTAATAAGGATTATAAGTATATAGAAAGTATTTCCTTTGAACCTATATAAAAATACATAAACCAATTACATATCAAATAAAACTTTTTATTAAATATATTTAATTTTCACAACATAAAAATATATATCATTTTTTTCAAAAATATCTTTAAACATATTTATAGTAGATTAATGGGGTCGAGATACTTTATGCTTTTATTGAAGATTAAATAAAAATTAAGTAATAAATATATGTTGGTCAAGTATTATTAATAGCTAACCCCAAGCGTGTGGTTCAGTGGTAGAGGTTAATCCATGCTTAAGAAAGATCAGAGAGTTCGAATCTTGCTTTGTGTATGCAGTCGCGTTAAATCTTCTTTGGGGTCAGCTATCACACCCTTTGGATATTTCAGGGATGAACCATTAATAGCCAATTAGTTTTAAGGTCTTTAATTTGATAAAAAAAAATATTATTTTCTAATTTATTAAAATAAAAGAAAATAATAATCAACAAAATGTAAAAATTAAGATGATTATTAAAAGAAGTATCTTTTTATATATTAATATAAATAATGCTCTCATTATTACATAAGAATATTTTTGAATTAATAATATTAAATTAGATTAAATTCATGAATAAAATTTACTTATATTTTAGTTAAAAAAGTTTTTAAAAAAATTCTTTATATATAAATTTAAAGAGATTACGGTATAAAATTATACCAAGAAAAAAGGATTTTGTCATTAAAATATTGATGATAGTTTTTTAAAAAAAATAAATAAAAATTCAATAGTCTCTTTTAGACTTTGGAAGCTTCCAAGCGCCAATGACTGTTTGGACGGTGATTAGGGTCGGAATCATGACCCCATTTGATTCGGACCAATAGAAAGTGGACACGTTGCATTTGCTTCTAACGTGTTAGGTTCCATGTGAACTTAGGTCGTATATAAAAAAGGCTCGACTATTCTCTCTTCACTTCGTTCAAAGCACGCCGTGTTTCGCTATCTCCCATCCTTTCGCATTTCCAACACCCTTTTCATCTGTGAAAGGTAACCACTATTCTTCTTCTCTTCGTTTTGCTTCACGTGCTTTTGAGATCTGAAAAATAATTTCATTTCCTTTGGTTTTTCCTCGATTCGATCTTCAGATCTGTCGCTGTATGACACTGTCTTGTATTTTTTATTTTTTATGATGATTTTGTTCGGTTTTTTGTTGTGTTGGACGGTTATTTTTTATATGTACTATTGTCTACTGTTCGATCCGATTCGTTTTGGTTCTGTTTGTGTTTGTGGCATTGCTGTTTCGTTGATGAATCCGATGAAGTGATAGATCTGTTACGGATTGTTCTTGTTGATTTGATCCGGAAGCTGAATCTGTCTGTGCTTGGGTTTTTAGAACAAAGTTGTTTTCTACTTCGGTTTAGAATGATGGATCTATTTTATTTTAGTTTTTTCTTTTATTGTTTCACAGGAATCTTGTGTTTTTAGACTTATATGGCCATTGTTTTATGATTTGATGTAAATCTGTGTTTGGTTTGTAGATCTATATTGACTTTTTCCCCCCTTATTTGTTCTGTGACTTCTGTCTGACCTCTAGTGGTCCTTCTTGTGTTGGAATTTTCAACATTTATGAACTATAATGGTGACTTTGTTTTTAAAGTCTCCAGGGGTTGAGATCCATCCTTTTATTTTGTATTTGTTTAGTTATTCGTGAGAAATGAATTAAGGTTGAACAATATTTTTCTACGTACGTATGGAAGATGACATTAGTGCCTCATTCTTTGTCTTCCGATTGATTTCCATTATAATTTTGCAATTTGTAACTCGATATTTGTATCCCAAATAAATATGGCCTTTTGGTTTGTGTGGCTGATTTACTGCTAAGATTTTTTTGTATTAGACATTTTTTCTCATAATCAACAATGAACTCCATATTCTCATAATCACCAAGTTTGCTTCATGTTTGTTTCCTGATGTTGATAGGTGTCTTGTAGTACAGATTGATTGAAGTTGTTCTTTTTATGTATAGTTTAAACTTTTGGATGTAAATTATGTCACAAAGTTTCTCTATACCTTTTGTCTTAGACTAACAAATAGAATACCGCACTAGATTTAATAGTAATGAAATATTTGAATAAATTGTGTTATTTTAATAGCCAATGCTCATGGTTTTGAAACTGTCCTTATTAATTCTATTTCACATTTTATAATTTGTTCAGGATAGTCACCATGGTTGATCAGGTCCAACATCCTACAATCATGGACAAGGTGGCTGGCCAACTCCATCTTCGATCTGGTCTTTCATCTGGTATAAAGAGTTATGATGGAGCCTTCCGCCACCCTGCTATGTACCAAAGGCCCTCATTTGGGAATTACTCGAATGCTGCATTGCAGTATCCAGTAATGCCCACTTGCAAAACTACTATGGATTTGTCTGCTGCAACAACAACCTCCCCTGTTTTTGCTGCGGCACCAGCAGAGAAGGGCCATTTTCTTATAGACTTTCTCATGGGAGGTGTTTCAGCAGCTGTCTCCAAAACTGCTGCTGCTCCCATTGAACGTGTTAAGCTCCTGATCCAGAACCAGGATGAGATGATCAAAACTGGAAGGCTCTCTGAGCCATACAAGGGTATTGGTGATTGCTTTAAGAGAACAATGCAGGATGAGGGTGTTGTTTCTTTATGGAGAGGAAACACAGCCAATGTCATTCGTTATTTCCCCACCCAGGTTGGTTATTTTGTAATTATTATTTTTTGGACAAAATATATATTGTTCTTTAGGTGTTTTAGTGGTGTTTGAAATCATAATTGGAGTTATATCTCAATAATTTATATTGACGTTTTCAAACTTTTATTATGTGAATTATTATAGAATGACATCAAATTCTGATTATAGATTGACATCAAAAGCCTGAGGAACTGCATTTAAAAAAAATTTCTTTTGATTTTCCTTACCTCCCTAATGGCATGGTTAATATAATATGTGATACTGAATTTGCTGTTTGTATTCTACCAGGCTTTGAACTTTGCATTTAAGGACTACTTCAAGAGGCTTTTCAATTTCAAGAAGGACAGGGATGGCTACTGGAAATGGTTTGCTGGCAATTTGGCCTCTGGAGGTGCTGCTGGTGCATCATCCCTTTTGTTTGTTTATTCTCTTGACTATGCCCGTACCCGTCTTGCCAATGATGCTAAGGCTGCAAAGAAGGGTGGAGAAAGACAATTCAATGGTCTTGTGGATGTCTACAGGAAGACATTGGCATCTGATGGTGTTGCTGGACTTTACCGTGGTTTCAACATCTCGTGTGTTGGAATCATCGTGTATCGTGGTCTGTACTTTGGAATGTACGATTCCTTGAAACCAGTGGTCTTGACTGGATCATTGCAGGTTAGTTTTTGCCTCTTTATATATAAGTATCTCTTGGATATCCGGTCTAATCAAATTTTTATACTTGTTAATTATGTTTTTAATTCTTTTAAATGCGTTGGTTGGTTTGATTTCAGTCGAATAAATATTGTGATGGTTTTAGGTACTCTCACAAATTTAGAAGTCTTGAAAATAATTTTTTATCTGTACTTGGGTGTTACTTAGTGATTACATGTCAAACATTTAGTTCTATCATGCTAGCAACCATTCTGAGGTGCATGTGAACTGATAACTAAAGGCATATCACGTCATTGCTAAATTAGTCACAGTTTATTTTTATAAAAATGAGTAAATAGTCTTTATTACCCGATTAGTAGTTTACTTGATCTTATGTAATTCCTGAAGAAAAATATATGAAATATGAAATAGTAAAAGTCAGATTTTAATCCTTTTAATTGAGTATAAGTTAAAAATGTCCCCTATATTTACAATCTTTATTGGACTGTGACTATTTTTTTGTTAGGGATCAGTGTTCTGATTTTTACCAACCAATTTGGGTATTTTCGCTCAAATAGTTATAAAATTTGTATATACCAGTATTAAAAAAATCGGACCCAAATCAAATGAAATCATATTTTAAGAGCCTACAAATATGTCAATGCAATCAAATATCATATTATATTTTAAATTATTTTAATCCTACAAGAAAGGGTTATCTAAATTCTGTTTAGTGAGAGCTAATGCAATTTTCCTTGGTGAATGCAGGATAGCTTTTTCGCTAGCTTTGCCCTAGGGTGGCTCATCACCAATGGTGCAGGTCTAGCATCATACCCAATTGACACTGTTAGAAGAAGAATGATGATGACCTCTGGTGAAGCTGTTAAGTACAAGAGTTCTTTGGATGCATTTGCACAAATCCTCAAGAATGAGGGTGCCAAATCCCTGTTCAAGGGTGCAGGTGCTAACATCCTCCGTGCCGTTGCTGGTGCTGGTGTGCTTGCTGGGTACGACAAGTTGCAGGTGCTTGTGTTTGGCAAGAAATATGGTTCTGGTGGTGCTTAATTTTCCATGAGTCACTATTATTATTTTTAGATGGCGATGAAAAACCGTTAAGTTGCGAGAGTTTAGACTAATTGCTGCCGCAAATTTTGTTTAATAAATTTCCTAGATGGGATATTTTCCCAAAACAATTAAAAGTTTCTGGATGGCAAATTTACATTGAAAATATGATTTATTTGAGTGACAGGATAAATTACTGTCACTTGGAATTCCATTGTTGGTGATTTCAAATTGTTTCTTACATATTGCTTCAGATTATTTCTATTATAAAGTGCTAAAAAATCTTTGTTATGATTATCATCGGTGAAAAGTAAGTCTTGGGTTGAACGATTCCATCTTTATTCTTTTTATTTTGTTTAGAAAGGAATATTAAACACAATATAGAACAAACTACTGCCTGGATTCATAAACAACTCTTTATGGCTAATGTTTCAAATTAAATGCAATCCATGTTGGAACTTTGTTAGTATTAGAGCAAATCTTGTAAATATTAGAGTAAGTTTGGATACATGTTTAGCAATACAATACAATTGGGAGATTTTCAACTGGAAAATATTTTTTATTTTTAATAAAAAATTCTCAAAAACACTTTAATTTATTAAAAAATCCTTATTAGTAAACTTATAGGAATTAGAAAAACCCAAGATACGTACCAAAAGGCCTGGGATTGCCACGGGAACTGCCATCTCCATTAAGTTTAGCAGTACCATCATGATGGGTAGCCAAAAAACCAGCATAGGTGTAATGGTGGTAGAAGATTTGCATGGTAGATAGTGTGTCTTAGTGGGTGGATAGAATGTGGTTGAAGTACCGGTGTGGCCAAATTTTATCTTGAAAAATCTTGACATTACGTGATCTCCGTAAAAACAAGCACACATGGACAAAATTCAAACATAAGTTTGAGTGAGAATCCATTGGTTAGTAGGGATGTTGCCATGAAAGGCAAGCCAAAGGAATGTTTAAAATGTTCAGGAAGGTGGTTTTCTAGACGCAGGACCAAGTCTCCTCATTGTTGTTTTTCTGGTCATGAAGAACTAAACTCCGTAGCTTATCTTTGATTTCAGTGGCTATGGGTGTGGCCAACAAGTTCCATTGCCAAGTGTGCCCTGAACAACTATTTTTACAATGCTTCAATCAAGTATTCAAGATGTGAGCATAAATACATAATCCAACATCTCACACAAGTGCTCCTCCTCAAGAAATTTATCATAAAATAAAGAAATGCTGCCACCAATTTGAATCATGCTCCCAACTTTAAGACCGTAAAACTTTCTATAGAACACCACGTGTAGGGGGCAGGGGCACCTTGGACTGTATACATGCATAATTGAACTTTGCTGTAAATATTTTTCCCTTGACACTTGGACCCATAATTTTTAACCCAAGAAAGATAAATATGAATTGTTCTTCTAATACCAAGCCCACCTCTATCCTTTGGACTAGAAACTTTTTCATAATTTTTAACCAATAGCTGGAAGGAAGCACCCATGTTATAGAATCAATTTTATCACATATTCCCTCTTGTGGCCAAAGGTTTTGCATGGGATAAGTGGAATCCATGAAGGACACTTCTTTTTCCTACCAAGGTCGAGACTCTTACTAAAGGAGTAATAAAAAGAATTTGCTACTTCCTAACACTTGAAAATATTTGTGTATTAGATTAGATTTTACAGAAAAATTTCACCAAGATTTTATTTTATTTTTCTACCAAGGCTGAAAGCCTCTTTATGATCAAGTAACCGATTCTTTCCCCGTCAACAACATTTTAATGGTTTCAAAGAAAGGGGATTTTGCACAAAAATTCCTTTTTGACGGATTAAGGCCGTGAGCCTCAAAGTTGAAAAATACCAACCATATCAACTTATTAAACTTCGAAATAAATTGCAACATCCAAGTAATGAAGTTATAGAGAAAAGAAAGAGGTAAGAAATAAAGTGGAGAGAAATAGAGTAGAGAGAAATAGGTGAGAAAAATAATTAAAAAATAAAATAAAAATTTGATTGTTTGGTTGAAGCGAAATAGGTAACAAATAGATGATGAGAAATAATATTATGTATGAGTGGTGAAATGGAAAGAAATATGTGAGAAATAAGATATATATAAAGGAGAAAAGATAATTAAAAATAAATAACTAGAGTAAAAATGAAAGAAATAGAAAATAAAAAAATTAAATTAATTTTTTATTTATTTATTTTAATCAGTTAAATAAAAATTATATAACTAAATAAACAATATTTTGAAATAAAATAAATATATAATGAAAGTAAGTAAATAATTCTGAAGTAATTTTTTTAGATTTAAATTAAGTAAATAATTTTAAAGTATATAAACAATTGAAAAATCATATAAAATTTTAAACTTTCAATCAAATAAAAAGTTCTTGAGATCGATCGAAAGTTTAGAAATGAACGTAATCAAATAAAAAAGTTTATTTAATCGAATAAAAGTAAACATAATTGAATAATTTTTTTAATCGAATGAAAGTAAGATTATCAAATAAAAGTATGTAATCCAATATGTAATATCCTATGATGTACAGATACAATACAAATATCAAATATTATACGTATCTGATATAGAGGTACATCAATTTTTAAAAATATAAGATATGATACGTATTAAAAAATTTAAATTAATGTATATAAAATAGTAATAATAATAAATATTATTTAAAAATCAAAATTAAGAATACATTTCTTGCTTTTTAATTTTTAAACATTACTAATAAATTATAAATTATTTCTTAATTGTCAAGAAATAAGAATAGTATCAACTTTATCCCTACAATAATAATAATAATACAAAATATTTTTCTTCCATAATAATAATAATTAAATATTTCTAACCCCAATAATATAAAAAAGAATATAATAATAATAATAATATTATTTTGAAATTGTAGTAATTTGTTAAAACATAATTGCAAGAATTACTTTTTAAAATCATGTAGGGGTAGGTATAGGTTTGAGATTGACTCGTAAGCTTGTGGACTTCATAAATAATGAACCAATTATTTTCAAATCCACATAAACACAGGAAATTTTAAGTCTAGCAAAAAGTTTGTGCACTTTGTGGGCTTAATCGATGAAACCCATGAACTACCCGCTTCACTAGAGGTATGTGTAAATGAATATAATGTTGTGCCTCAATAAATTTGAAATTGTAAAACAAAACACAAAGACTTTCCTTAATATATTGCAACAAAGACAACTATTTCATCTATCAGGTTTGATACTCATCCATTGTCATCTGATGTTTTTTCCTGAGTTATGCTCCAATCATTATACTTTATTTGGCCTATAATGTCAATAATATATAAATATATATTTTTGGATACTGTTGGATCCACTCGAAAAACTACAAACAAGTCGAAACAATCATGTAGATTCCTCGAAAAATGATATGAAGATGGACACCTTCTAATAGCAAATATTCGAGATCGAGAAGAGTCATGCTCGAAAACTAGGTAGGTCGAGAGGTTAATATGAACGTGGAAGGACGGTTAAAGGAAGTTATAACTCAAGACCACGTAGCAAGCATAGTGGATAGCGGTTATGAGTTAGAGGTGTACGTGCACAAAATTAACCACTCTTGATTGCTCTATAAATGCAAGGATTACGGACCGTAACAGAGGTCGGAAAACTCATATCAGAACTACTTTCAAGCACTCTCTGCTTGCTCACATGGCTTTCGTGCAAGGAATCGTTTTCGGGTATGACTGCTTCTTTACCACCTTTCTTTTCTTGTTTTTGGAGTAGGTACAGTATAATTTCTTGTGTAGTTTATTACTGTTATTGTAAGCATGTAGTGCAATTATGTAATTTGAAGAGTATGATCTATGTAATTTACTAACTACTTGACGTGAAACATGATATGTATTGTCAATATTATAATTGTTCACTCGATTCATCTAAGTGTTCATGTGCATGCAAATTGTTATATGTTGATCGTTGAGGAGTGTTGGGAAATGGGTAATCATTAATTATTCCACTCTGTTCTTCTTGGCGCAAAAAATAGACCTAAATTGAAACACGGGCTGTGCTAGTCTACATAAAAAGAACCCGTAAAAGATTAATGGTTAAATCCACCGTAAACAAATTGGCACGCCCGGTGGGACCCATTTAGTTCATAACATATAATTAGACTAGTTTTAGGGAGACAAAGTGTATGAGATTAAGGAGTGGAAGAACTATGTCTACGTCTAATAATGCCAATCATAATAATGCAGATGTAGAACAACCTAACCCCAATCCTGATAGTGCTACTAATGTGACCAGGGGGGCAGGGTCTCCTCCTGTGTTGCTCAAAAACCACGCTAGGCACAACAATGTCACTCAAGAACTGGTGAACGTTACTAGGGAATCCCCGTGGGGTATGCCACCTAATTGGCGAAGTGCCCAACCTGCGTATGTCGAAATGTCGATCCCTTTTGTAGGACCTAATTCACAAATGAATGTGTGCCCACAGGGATATAATCCTGGGCCAAATGGTTTGGGTTTTGTCATGCAAGACCCGTACCAGCATGTAGGAACTAGTCAAGAAGGGTTGTTAATTCGACAAAGTAGTTACATACCTACGGGTATCAGTAACCAAGCGATGATGGCTCTTCGACAACAGATGGACCATAGTAATAAATTCACGTCTTCATTATTTATACTAGTATTTTTGTTTGTATAATATAAAGACATATTTATTATATATAATTAAAATTTATAATAAATTATATATAAATAAATACTATATTTGAATGTATAAATTATATTTAAAATTGCTATACATAAATATTTCTAAATATATAAATTATATTTTATATTTATGATAAATAATGCATTGTAACAAAAAAGATATTTTTAAATGTCTTCAGGATCATTGCAAAATTGTTACATATACAAATCTATAACATTCACAGAAAATTATACAATTTCACAAAAATTCTCTTTAATAAAAATTCAATTTTTAATCGATCTCTTTATCCGTATAATCAATTAAACCAAATTGAAGAGAGAAAAAATGACCAACGCATTCAAATACACGTATTATCAATGAAGAGAAAAAAAAATTGTAACAATACGCTTTAGAACCCCATAACCTAATAACAACGGCGACTCTGATACCACTTGTTGGGATAAAATTTCTTAAGCTAAATAGAAATTTTTCATTAATCAAAAATTAAGAACCGTTGTCTCAGATTACAGAGTTAATGATAATAACACGTACCTGTATCCATTGATGGTGATCAAAAGGTTACAGCGGAATAGTCTTTTGGTGCAATGATCTTCCTCAGCCAAATCATTGGATTCCTTGATGGGACTTGATGTTACTCTTCTGATGGGGAGACAGAGAGACGTGTATTTCTGATTTGACATATTGGGGACCATGACCATCTTTATGATTTTAAACCTATTAGGGTTCCCATTAACCCCTAACGGGCCAAATCTGGTTTCCACTTATTTGGGCCCATATCAGTAGAAATAAAATTTCTAACACATCAATCTATGTTGAAGCTAGTTTTGGTTAACAAGTTTATGATTCCTACCCTCTACTTCACATCCTTAATTCTTCATTATTGAAATTTTTTTTATTTATTATATTTACAGTATTATGATTACCAGCTCTGATCCAATTTTTAACATTGGAATGCAAGTATTTAACAATTAGACTCATCAAATTAGTTAAATAATTTATTATTATAAACTCTTTTATAACAACAATAATAAAATTTAAGCATAAAATCTTGTATATATTATGACAGACAGTCTTATATGTCGATATGATAGATTTGCAAACATAGTGTTAAAACTATACGTAGTAAAGTCATTAAATGGATGCACTAAGTTATTTATTTATTTTAACGCGCTAAATCTTGATCTGTCATTTGTGTCTCTTACATGGTGTCTTAGTCATTAGTTCATTGATAAAGATCAAGATCTAAGTTGTTCAATTGTTTCCATTTGTCTTAAATTAATGAATTTGAAGGAACACCCAGAAAATAGTTTTGCTGCCTCTATGTGGCTCTGTCATGTGATTGAACTTTTGGAAGTGTTTATACAACCATAATCTCGATCACAAGCTTCAAGTACAATATATGCTCTTTTTTATTATTCATTTCAGCCGGAGTTTTGGCCCTATTCTAGTGGACACTCACAAACATGTCCCTTCTTTATTCATAAAACAGCTGTATTAATTGGCAAAAATATTCTCTTCATTATATATATACTCAAAAGTGGTTATACATATATAGGAAGCCTTAACGGACCCCTAATATTTAAATACAAAAGGAAATTATAATCCTTAATACAACTCAAACAAGTTTACCCTCACAATAACAATTTTTTTTTAAAATTCAATTACATAATAAACAAAGATTAGATAATTAAAGAATATATAAGTAAAGAATAATATTTATTTTACAAATTAATTTTATAGAATTGAATTAGGTTTATAATCTACATTTTAATAACAGTTTATTAATTAATGTGTTATTATTATTATAATTGTTGCAATTAAGGTTAAAGAATTAAAAATAAATTCTTTTTATGTAATATATATATATATATATATATATATATATCATAAAAAAACAAATTTAAATTTCCAATTTCAAATCTTTTGAAACATTGTTTATGTTTAAAGATTATCTTCATTTTAAGGTTTTTTTCCCCCTCTATTAGAGTCTATAAATATAGATTATCATGAGATGAAGAAAGTCATCCTAGTCTAATATGAAGAGATAATTTTTAGAGTGTGTCCAAGAAAAACTTGTAATTTTATTTGAGAAAATAAATTAATATTATATATACCTTTTCAATGTGATTATGACTATATACATAATGAAAAATTTCTGTTTATAAAAAATTTGCCCTCTAAACACTACATGAATTAAAGTGGGATTAAAGAGGCGGGCAAGAGATCGAGGAATTAAAAGGAATACTGTTTTGAGGATCTGCATGCTTTCATTTTCATTTTTCTTTAACTTTTTATCCACTCAATTATACAATAACTTATTTTTAATAATATATTTGTATAACAAAAAATAAAAGAAAAAAAATGTAACATCATATATAACTATTATACAAAGATAAAGTACGTCTCATCCCACTAGTTTGAAATAAAAACAATACACCCTGTTATAAATTAAGATGATTGCAATCGGTGACATGCATGCATCGATATGAACTAAAGTTGCATAACAATGATATCATAGAGCTGTGATATACACCGTTCCTTCGACGGTGCATCAGAAGATTTTCTTCTGCAATGATGATGAAGGGCTGGAGGTCCTTGAGGCTGATCAGAGAACTTATGAGGTGGGCATGTACTTTGCTGATCAGCAGTTAACAACCTTCGCAAAGACCAAGCCTTTTGATGCTTACAACTCTGGAATGATGGACGAGGACGCCGGAGTTAAGAAAACCTTTTGCTGGGATGTTAGGAGAGGTTTCGTGATTCGAGCCGAAAAGGATTCGGCTCCACTTGAAGAATGAAGGATGAAGATCCTTATTCGAACACGGCGAAAAATAGACCTAAATTGAAACACGCGCTGTGCTAGTCTACATAAAAAGAACCCGTAAAAGATTAATGGTTAAATCCATCGTAAACAGATACTATATTAAGACTTTGATTTTTTATTTGTATTGTTCGATGTTGTTGTTACAAATGTATTTATATTCTTGTGTTATTTTTTTTTTCATGGTTTCATATCTTAAAAAAAGTAAAGAAAAAGAAAATAAAATTTAATTGAATTCGTCAAATATTTATTAAAAATCTCATATTTATTTATTGTTCATAGACCGACTTGTTTATTTGCAAGCTTCATAGTCAAATACGAACTAGAAAACTTGTAACCATTTATTTTGTATTTCTTATTTATCGGACCTTTTAAAAATGTAAACTTCGTAGATTAGATCATTCTAAATACCATTTCTAAATTTATTAATAATATAATTTTAAAAATTACTTTTCTGAAATTGAAAGTAATTTCCGGAAAGAGAGTCGAAATACCACTTAGGAAAAATAGGATTATTCGAAGAAAAGGAAAAAAAATATTTTGAAAATATATTAAAAAAAAGAAATAAAGGTGTACTTAATAAATAACAGGTGTAAATAGAAAAAAGCCCTGAAGTTTTTTCTTTCGGGCGCTGAAATTGGATGGAAACGATTGGGTTTGGCCCATTAACAAGTGCATAGGGTATGGAAAACGAACCGGGCCCGCGGGTTAGGGTAGTGGAGTGTTGGTGGATGCTGTTGTTCCCTCTATAAATTCAAAACCCTAAACCCTATATTTCTCAGTTCGGTTCCGCTGTTGCGTTGCTCTTCACCTTCTAGCCGTATACAACCTTTATCGAAGATGGCTCCTCCCAGAGGTAACACTCCTTTTATCCATTTCTCACAAAGAAAATAGGGTTTTCCTTGTTCCTAGGTTTTTCTTGCTCCGTTGTTTCTTTGCTTGTGGAGATGTTTGATGATTTTCATTTTATTGATTGAACATTGAAGAATGTATTTGGTGAGAGAAGTGATTTGTCATGTGATTTTTCCATGATTTTATCGATTGCGCAGGTGGTGGAGGTTTCAGGGGTGGAAGGGGTGATAGAGGAAGAGGAAGGGGTGGTGGAGGAAGAGGAGGAGACAGAGGTACTCCGTTTAAGGCCAGAGGTGGCGGCCGTGGCGGTGGACGCGGTGGCGGCCGTGGAGGAGGACGCGGTGGCGGCCGCGGTGGTGGCCGAGGTGGAGGGATGAAGGGTGGCAGCAAGGTTGTTGTTCAGCCTCATAGACATGATGGTATTTTCATTGCCAAGGGCAAAGAAGATGCTCTTGTTACCAAAAATCTTGTTCCGGGAGAAGCTGTGTACAATGAGAAAAGGATCACTGTGCAGGTTAAATCTTATGTCTTTAGCTTTCTGTTATGTTATTTGTAGTTGTATAAGTTCAAAAGGTAGTATTTTTTTTTGATGTTGCATTAAATAATAAGTTACTTTGTGCAGAATGAAGATGGTTCAAAAGATGAGTACAGAGTTTGGAATCCCTTCCGCTCGAAGTTGGCTGCTGCTATCCTTGGTGGAGTTGACAACATATGGATTGTAAGTAATTTGACTATATGCTCCGTGTTGGTATTATATTTAAATGAATTTTTTTTTGATCCCTATAGTTTAAAATTGATCTCTTTAGTCTCTAAAATTTCAAAATAGTCTTTTGGTATTCCCTAACATAATTCACTGTATATAACATCAACCGGATTTTATATTCTGATTTTACTAGGTAGATTTTGTTTGACAGCATTTGGCAGATTTATTAACTATATTAAAATAAAAGGACCAAAATAATTTTTTTTTAAAAATTATATGGACTGAAAAATCAATTTTAAATTTGAAGGATCAAAAAATTTACTACATATATGAAGGACTAAAAGTATGTTTAAACCTATAATTTAAATGCACTGCCTTAACATTTGTATTACTTTTGCTTTATTGCTTATAAAGAAACCTGGAGCTCGAGTTCTTTATCTAGGAGCTGCTTCTGGAACCACTGTTTCTCATGTGTCGGATGTTGTCGGCCCAGTAAGTGCCATTCCAAATTGTATAATGGTATATTAGATTTTCAGTATAGAAGGACTGATTAGATTATGCTGCTCTTTCTGCATAGACTGGAGTTGTTTATGCAGTAGAATTTTCCCATAGAAGTGGACGAGACTTGGTCAATATGGCAAAGAAGCGCACTAATGTTATACCAATTATTGAAGATGCTAGACATCCGGCTAAGTACAGGATGTTGGTTGGAATGGTTGATGTCATATTTTCTGATGTTGCCCAGCCTGATCAGGTGTGATTAAAATTTCTTACATAGTATCTCTTTCCCATAGTTTCCACCTTGGATTTACAACCAATATATACTTGGGTTACATGACATCGTGCATACTACAGTCAGTGGTGCTGTATAATTGTTGTTTGTTTGATTTTGATTTTGATTCATTTCCTTTCTTTTGGTTGTTAAACATTAGCTATCTATCTATACTTCCAATACTTATTCCTAGATTTACAATTTGAATGATATGGTACTTAATATTTCTGTATTTGTCAAGTCATTAGTCAGTATAGGATAATCTGTGCATATGAAGAGTTACTCGGATTCCCCTTCAAGACATCATGGATGATGCAGACCCGAGTTTCTGATGCACATCAATTTCTTCTATTTTTCTAAAGTATTATTTTATAATGTATTTTTCAATAGACAAGAGTGTTTGTTGGTGCTTTATGTTTGCATTTGCCTATTTTGTGTCAATAACTGCTGTATTATTTTAATATTTTTCTTAGTTATTTTCATGAATGTAATATGGTGTATCCATTGTTCATTTTGTGTTCGTGTCTAGTCATGATTTTAATTTGTGTCCAGTCATTATTCTGCATGGGATAATCTGTGCATATGATGAGTTACTCGGATTCCCCTTCAAGACATCATGGATGATGCAGACCCGAGTTTCTGATGCGTGTCAACTTCTGTCTCTCTTTGTTTTGTTATTTTATTACTTTTTTTAATAGACAACAGTGCTTGCTGCTTCTTTTTGTTTGCACATTTGCCTTTTTTTGTATCAATAACAACTGTCATATTTTTAAAATTTTCTTAGTTATGTGAATGTGTATACGTGTTTGTGTCTAGTCATGATTTTAATTTGTGGTTTTTTTTTTTACTTTCTTCCTTTGCTTCTATTGGAAGATAAAAAATCCCTAAACACTGTCAAGTAACTATTAGTCAGGTAGTTTATGTATCTGTCTTGTTTATGAGCTTTTGGTGATCATTGCAGGCAAGAATTTTGGGGCTGAATGCTTCTTATTATCTCAAGGCAGGAGGTCATTTTGTTATTTCAATCAAGGTTTGTTCACACATCTAATCATGTTTTTGCAAGACTTTATCGGGTTGTATGGCTTATAGTGGAAAACCTTTAAAAAAGGGTTGGCCCCGTGCACAAGGTTTTCTCACCTAGTTGGATTACCCTTGTAAATGGAGAGGCTGCTTTTTAGGATTTGAACTTTGGACTCTCAGGTTACAAAGCAATATATTTACCGAGAGGGATCATTATATTGTAATGAGAGAACTTGTTGGGATTAGGTTAAGATATTTTGGCTGTGGTTCTAGGTTTAAATTGATGGCTTGTGTTTAAAATGTGTAGATTTGCAATTTGCAAATTGTGTTCACTTATTTCATTTTTCATTTGTGTTAGGCAAATTGCATAGACTCCACAGTCCCTGCTGAGGCAGTGTTTGAAAGTGAAGTCAACAAGCTGAAGGCAGATCAATTTAAACCATTCGAGCAAGTCACCCTTGAACCATTTGAGAGGGACCATGCCTGTGTGGTTGGTGGATACAGAGTGCCGAAGAAGAAAGATGCTGCCAAGAAGACTTAGATTTGTGTTAATTGTCTTAAAACTCTTCAAGCGTAGTTCTATTTTGCTATTATCTTTTTGTCAGTAGCTTTTCACTAAGAATGTGTTGACTCGTACCTTTATCCTTCCTCAAAATATCAACATGTTCTTCACAAAATTACGTTCTTAGTATTGAGATCAACAGCGTTGCTTGCATGTTCCTACTTGTGAATCCAGTTTATTTTTATTTAATGAAAGTATATGATTGCAAGCATATGTCAATCTTGCACTATCTTTGTAATATGGTCTTTTGTATTTTCCACGGACAGGGTAGAACATTTTCCGTATGTATTCATGAAGGAAGCCTATAGGACCGAATAAAATTAGTAAAACCATCTTCGAGACTCCAATTTGATAAGAGGTTTGTTTAAATTTCCTAAAAAAAAGGGTTTTAGTAAAAATAAATAAATTAAAATTTCTATAATCTTAAATTAGTATACATAAATATACTTTGAAGATGTGTTTATATGGAATAACTTGTACAGATTTATTTATACCTAAGTAAATTTTAGAAATTGAAGAAGTTTTTTTTTCTTCATATTTTCTTTTCGTAAAAATATTTTAGAAAAAGATTATCTGAAACAGGCTTCGCTGCCAAAATTAGGCTACTGCGGAGTTGATATTTTTGTTGCTCTGATTCTTATGTTTGGTTCAGCATTTTTGACATTGTGGAGTTAATGGGGGTGGAATTTTCAGGGGTGCATTGTTGGTTTAGCTAGTGGAATTGGTGAAAATTGGGGGGCACACAATCAACAAAACCTTTGCCACCATCCATCGGTGAAAATGCGGAAGGATGCCTTTTGAAGTCGACCTTGGATGGAGAATTATTTTCATTGTAAAACATTCTTATAAAGGAGGGAATTCAAGTTTTTTGAATTAGAAGAAAAGTTTTATGGATATAAAAAATTACAATATCTTTTTTTAAAATAAAATATATATCTCTATTTTTCTTTCATTCTTGTATCTCATTATTTTTTTATCTTGTGAATTTTAGTAATATTATTAAAATCATTTTATTTTTAATATTTGTTAACACTTTCATTTATTTATTTTTAATTTTTTTATTTGAATGAAATAAAATAATATATTTTATTCTTCTTAATTATAATGTAGTATTTTTTTATACTTTTTTGTTGAATTCTGTATTTAAATTATTTTCATAAGTTTTTAATTTTTTAAAAATAATTTAATATTATATTTGTAATAAGATTTAAGTAAATAAATATTTATAATAGATTTATTTGAATAAATATTTTTGTAAAAAATATTTATAAATCTAGAAATATATTATTGTAATTATACATGAAAATTTTTTATTCTCAAAGATCATAAACGAATATTTCTAATAACTTTTATGAATAACGAAATATATTTTAGTTATTTTAGGATTTGTAATTCTAAAAAATTATGATTACGTATGAAAAAACTTTTCTTCTATCATATATCTCCAATGTGATAACTCCAAGTGTTGGTATGGGTGTTATTGTTAGGGGCTGTCATATTCAAGGAAAACCGAAAATGCTATTTGGTATATTGATTTGATGCTTGTGATACTGGTGTTACTTTCACTACTTTAATGTTGCAAAAGTTTTAGAATTGAGCAGAATAATGCAACATTGTCATGTGAAGCTTGATGTTTGTTACATACAATCTTCTTATATCTTAACTTTGTGCTAATGGTGATCTTGAAGCTGCTTTTATACTTTATGAAGATATGAAACAACGAGATCTTTTGCCCAATACCTCTATATACATACTTATTGATTCTTTCTCTGCTGGAAATTATTAAATTGAAAATGAAAATCTTTTTAGGGACATACTAGTTAGGGAACAAGTTTCTTCAAATACACATGGAGGCACCAAAAGATTGAATGAGTTATTTATAATTGCTAGAAAGAATCAATTGACTTGAGGTACAAAATGAGAAAGTTCGATCACATTTATGCTCTTTATAGTTTATATGTTTAGATGTGAGTTGGCATGATGCTGACTGAGCCAACAGTTCTGTTACTCATAAGGACGTGATATTGTTGATATGATTTGTATTACATTCCCCCCAGTATCATTCTTTTGGTTTCTTCCACAGTATCTTGAACACTTGATTCTTAATTTTTAGTAAACATTTTTGTTCATCCCATCTGAAATTTTTGTTACCCAGCTTCTTAGAATAAGGTGTAGCATTTATCTGCATGGTTAACTTTTTGGAAACACCTACGTCAGAAAATCCTTGTATGCCATTCGAATTTTACAGATTTCCAATGATAGATGATTTTCAGAAAATCAAATGATTTTAAAAGAACTAAACTTAGATACAATTCTTCAGATTGGTGGTTGAGTTGTATTTAAGATTCGAAGTTTTACTTCAGTTATCCACACAATATATTTTTGCATTAAAAAATTATATAAATTAGTAAAGTAAAATTCCAATTTTAATTATGAAACAATTCAGGATCTAGATGTAAGTTTTCTCCATTTTAAAAAGCTATAGCACATAGCCCTTTATTCTCTGAACAACAACTCCTTCGTGGCAAAGGTTAGGCAGTGCATGCGTGATATCAACAAACTTCAGGCGGTATTAATATAATTTGCTCAAAAAGATATAAATAATTAATTTATCTATTATTACATTTTTTAAAAAAAATTACAATTTGATATTGTGTAATTATTTTTAATATAAAAAACTTATGCTATTTTTATCTATTATTTTATAAAAGTTGTTGTTAGATATTATTATTATTATTATAAATTAGTGGAGGGTACTTTAGTCTTTATGTTTTTATTTATATATTTTATTCTTGTACTTTTGTCTATTATATGATTTGTGAGATAATATTATTATTCTCAATAAAACCTTAGCCTCCTTTCTTCTATTCTATGTTTGTTCTTCTTTGTGCATATGTTTGCGTTTGAATGATTGTTATAATGATATTAGAATGATGTTTCATAAGATAAATCCAACAATAATGAGTATGATCATTAATAAAAGATACATAATAACAAGATCCATCTTTGGTAAGAACTGATGATGGACCCCATACATCAGAATGGATCAAGTCAAAGGTGCCTGAGAAATAGAAACACTCTTACTAAAAGGCAAAGCAATAAACTTTGCAAGTTTACAACCACAACAATAAAAAATATCACTGGTTTGTAACTTTCCCAAAGCTCTAGTAGAAGCCAAGTATTTTAATCTAGAGGAAGAAACATGTCCAAGACGGGAATGCCACAAGTAAAAACTAGATGATGCTGAATTCAAATTAAAAGATGACAGATCAACAATGGATGCCACAACATTTGGAACCTTCAACTCGTCAAACATATAGAGTCTCCCTTGTTTACGGCCTATCCCAACCAGCCTCCTGAATTGTGGATCCTATACATAACAATTAGTGGAAGAGAACAAAACTGAATAACTAGAATCACATAATTGACCAACAGAAACAAGATTCAAAGTGAGACTAGGAATGTAATAAACATATGAAAGTATCAAATTTAGGCGTGGACACAAATCCAGTGCCTGCTAATGGCATTGGGGTGCCATCAACAATCATGACAAGTATAGAAGACATATAGTATTTAAAGACATAAAACACTTAGGATCATATGACATGTGATGAGATGCTCCATAATCAAGAACCCATATTGGTGAAGACATACCTGATGAACTAGAGGAATACAAACCTTTTACAGAGGAGGCAAACAAGGCATGTGACTGAGTAGTAATAAATTTTTGGAACTGTAAGATCATCAACTTGAGAAGTGATTTTAGTAGCAGAACTAGGTGGAGCATTAGTAACAACATGTGACAGTGGAACTTTAAAGTTTCTCTGGTTTGACTGATAGGAATGAGGACGCCATTGAGTTTGTTGTTGAGGCTTCAATAATTTTGGACATTGTGCTTTCTAGTGACATTTCTCCTTACAATAGCTACATTCATCATAACCAACCTTTCCATGAGAGTTACTTTTATTAAATGGAGTAGCAAATACTGATGGGGGAGTAGAGAGAATTCCTTTGTCAGAACCAGAGCTGGACTTCAATTGTATTTCTTTTGCCAACAACTCCTTAACCATCACATCAACACTAGGAAGGGGAGAATGATGTAAAATCGTTCCACGAAGTCCCTCAAAATCATCATGTAGTGCCATCAAAAACTGAACCAAAAGTTGTTTTTTTTTTTAAAAGTTGGTATACACTTGAAGTCCTTGCAAATCAAAACTTTAGTGCCGAAACAGAGATAAAATCGCAACAAAATAGAAAGGGTTGCAACAATATAAAAAACCACAATAAAACTTTGTTGTGGATGCAAAAGTGAGGCAAAACCTTAAACTTCATGAATCGGGTCGCATCACAAACGCAAAATGCTTTAGGTATTCCCAAGCACGAACCATGCTCTTAATACCATGATAACAATCATTCAAACACAACATAAGTTTCGTGCTTTGGTTAAAACCCAACATAATGCTGTTATTAAGTGGTTTCGTTGTGATTTGGGTAATGAGCACACTTCTAATAAATTCTCTGCATGACTTGCTTCTGATGGTACTATTCATCAGACTTCATGTACTGATACTCCTCAACAGAATGGCGTTGTTGAAAGAAAAAATTGTCATATTGTTGAAACGGTTTGTTTCCTTTTATTGTCTGCTTCGGTTCCAAGTGATTTTTAGGGTGAAGCTATTCTTTATTGGTATCCATGTTATTAATAGAATTCCATCTTCTGTTATGTCAGGTTTGTCTCCCTTCCAAAGGTTGTATGGTTGTGTTCTTGATTACTCTTCCTTGAAGGTTTTTGGGTCTACTTGTTTTGTTCTTCGTCCACAAGTAGAACGTAGTAAATTGTCTTCTTGTTCTACTATATGTGTCTTTCTTGGTTATGTGGATGGTTAGAAGGGTTATCGTTGTTATGATCCTAATAACCAAAAACTCTATGTTTCCCATCATGTTGTGTTCCTTGAGCACATACCATTTTATTCTCTTTCTACTGGTCCTCTCAATCCTACAAAGTCTGATCTCACTCGTATTGATCCCTTTTCCATGGATATTGGTGATTTGAATAAATATGAGAGTGAAAATTGTAGGGATAATATTGATACTCCTGTAGGTCAAGATGTCCCCACGACCCCCCAAGATCCTCTTGTGGTTGTTGATCCGATTTCTCCTAGTTATCCTTCACATGTTCGTAAGTCCACTTAAACACCTAATTTTCTTTATTCTTTTTATTCTGCTTCTTTTGCTTCTTTCCTAATGGCCATTCATAGTTTGTCTGAGCCTTCTTCCTATAAAGAGGCTATGCTTGACCCCCTTTGTCAACAAGCTATGACAGAGGAACTTTCTGCCTTACACAAGACAACTACTTGGGACTTGGTCTCTCTTCCTCTAGGAAAACATGCTATTGGGTCTTGATGGGTTTACAAGATTAAAACCAAATCTGATGGGTCAGTTGAGTGCTACAAAGCGCTTCTTGTTGCTAAAGGATTCTCACAACAATATGGCATGGATTTTGAAGAAATTTTTGCCCCAGTTGCCAAGATGACCACTATTCACACTCTTATTACAGTTGCATCTATTCTTTAGTGGCATATTTTTCAAATGGATGTAAAAAATGCGTTCTTAAATGGTGATTTTCAAGAGGAGGTCTACATGATACCTCCACCTGGTGTTCCTCATAATCCTGGGGGTGTGTGTAGATTAAAGAAGTCTTTTTATGGTCTTAAACAAGCTCCTCATGCTTAGTTTGAAAAGTTTGCTATTGTGATTGCATCTCTTGGCTTCCGCTCTAGTGATCATGACTCTGCTTTGTTTTTGAAGACTTTTTCTCATGGTCGTATTATTCTTTCCCTATATGTTGACAACATGATTATTACTAGGGATGATGTTGATGGGATTCCAGGCTTAAAATTGCAGTTAGCTAAACAGTTTGAGATGAAGGATTTAGGCCTTCTTCGCTATTTCTTGGGGATTGAAGTTGCCTACTCTCATAGAGGTTATCTTCTCTCTCAATCTAAGTATATTGCAAACATTCTTGAAGGGCACAACTTTCTGATACTAGAGTGGCAGACACTCCTCTTGAGCTTAATGCAAAATATCTTCCTTCTGATGGTGTCCCTTTACATGATCCCACTTTGTATCATGCATTGTTTGGAAACTTGGTGTTTCTCGCTATTACTAGACTTGATATTACTTGTGCTATTCATGTTGTTAGTCAGTTTGTGAGCTCTCCTACTATAGTGCATTAGGCATCTCTTCTTCATATTCTTATATATCTCCGAGGCACTCAATTTCAGAGTCTTCTATTTCCTTCATCTTCTTCTTTGGAATTGCATGCTTATTCTGATGCTGTTTGGGCTGGCGACCTTATTAATCGTAAGTCTACCACATGATTTTGTATTTTTTTAGGAGAATCTTTTATCTCTTAGAGGAGCAAGAAACAAGATATTGTTTCTCACTCTTCTACAGAAGTTAAATATCATGCTATGACTTCTTTTACTGTAGAATTAGTTTGGTTACGTTGGCTACTTTCTAATATGGGTATTTCTTTTTTCTAAATCTACTCCTATGTACTATGACAACAAAAAGTGCCATCCACATCGCCCACAATTCAGTCTTTCATGAGCGCACAAAACATATTGGAATTGATTATCATCTCACTCGTCATCATCTCCAACATGACATCATCACTTTGCCTTTTGTTACTTCCTCTTTGCAGATTGCTAATTTGTTTACCAAATCACACTCTACTAATCGTTTTCATTTTCTGACTCACAAACTCTTGATGATTCGTCCTGATACATTGTGAATTTGAGGGATACATAGCACGATATTTAGCTTCTGTAGAAGAGTGAGAAACAATATTATTATTATATATTAGTGGATGATACTTTAGTCTTTATGCTTTTATCTATATATTTTACTCTTGTACTTTTGTCTATTATATGTTTGTTCTTCTCTGTGCATGTGTCGAGAATGAAGACATTGTTGTAGGTGGGATTGTAGAACTCATAGGCGATGACGATCTTGTCGTCGATCTTGAGGGGTCCGTTGTTGAAGGAAATGGGGGGGGGGGGGGGGGGGG